AGAATTTCTTAATATTTATTTTTTAGTTATTGGCAGACACAACATCGTTGTTTGTATGTGGTGCTGAGGATTGAACCCGGGCCGCACGCATGCCAGGCGAGCGCGCTACCGCCTGAGCCACATCCTCAGCCCTGGGATAGGTTCTTGATAAGGGTGGAGGAAGGGCTCTGAAGGAATTAACATTTCTGTCCCTCAGTGGGCAGTCTCCAACTTCCCAGACTTACTCAAATTGGACTCCTTGATTCCACCTGACTCAATTTATCTATCTTTCCTGCCTGCCTGCCTAATTCCAGCCTCACTGTTTTCCTACCACCTCTAGTTACAGAAGTTTATAGAAATTTATAGAAGACCTAGTTTCCAGGGACAGTGAATTAGTCTACCAGGGAGATAAGTGAGACTAGCCAGCGAGAAATGAAAGATGGAGACCAGGTAGAGATACACATGAAAGTTTATTTGTTAGAGAGCTGACACTTAAAGCACCTCTCCCCTTAGAGGTAGAGGCAAAACTGGCTTGGGATCCCGGACTTTTTTAGGGCAGGCTCAGGGATTAGAGATGGTGTCCTAATGCAGGCCATTAAGGGTGGGGTTGGTATGAGGGAGTAGTGAGCCTATCTCAGAAAGGCCCTTGGGTGGGAAAGTGAAATTTTTCTTAAAATGATGACTGTAAAATGATGGCCGTGCAGATGCTAAGCAAGGACCTTACAATGATGGTCTCATTTTCCTTGGAACCAAGCACTTCTTAATGCACCTTGAGGAAGTGGCTCCATGAATAGGAATTCCAATTGAGAAACTACACCCAAGGCCAGAATCCTCCCACTAGTGCTTCTGCCCAAAGGCAGAAGAGCCAGAAAGGTGACTTTGCATAGCCTAAGTAATTATTGGCCCTACTGTTTAGAATGCCCAGGACTTGGTTGATTGTACCTCATCTAGTAGCTATCAAGGACTTGGTGGGATTGAAAGTTTGAACCATCTTTCAGAGTGGAAAGGTAAACTGGGCTAAGGGAGGATAGGCAAGGGCCTAGGAAATGGTACTTACTGGAAAATGATTAAAGATGTGGCCTGGGCTGGAGGCGTACCTGAAAGCATCTGTCTACAGTGCTTTGTACATACTGCAATTCCTTCAGTGTTTTTTTCCTCGTTGTTTGCTATATATTGAGTTATCTCAAACTTAGTCTATCACTGTAAAGAAAAGGAGACACAGAGAGAGATGCAGAGGCAGAAAATGGCTGCTGGTCCAAGGGGCCACATTTATTTATACCAGTAGGTTACATTAGATCATTAGTGCAATAACTACATTATTTTTAGTATATCATTAAGGTTGCTTGTTTTGCAATTATATTCTATAGTTCCAATATGCAATGTTAGAGCTTTATGTAGCTATCAAGAAAGTCTGTTTGAAGTTACTGTTAGGCAGGAAGATCCAGGAGCTTGGTGAAACATTGTTATCTAGCAAGCAAGTTCCTTTATTCCCAGGGACTATGTGCTTGAGATCAAAGTCGAGGCTGATAAGACTCTAGTATAGAGCCTCCTTATGGAGGACAGTACCACAGCAGCTAGGGATTGCCCAAGTATTAGTTATCTTACTAGTTCCTGGGAAAAACTGCAGAATATTCCAACTGTGGAAAACAAAACATCTGTTTTCCCCTGGGAGTTTGTTCAGGAGAGGAAATTTGCTGTCTTGTACATTTCCACCACCAGAACCCTTATATATCACCAGATTTGGCATGTAGGGATATGCTGATGCCACTTCTATTCTGATAGTTCTTCCTGATAATTCAGGGATTGTTTTCCAAAGTATTTCTTCTTTATAAGAAAGATTAAAAAAAAAGTTGAATTCAGTTGCCTGGGGTCACATGATTTCAAATGTTAGCCATATTGACTTTTTCTCTTACATTACCCATTTTGCCACAATTAAGTCAAAATAAGTGTTTATTTATTTTGAGATTATTTTTGTGACACTGAAGTCAATATAGAACAAACATTGCTTTATAATACTGTGGCTTAAGCATTCTTATCCTTTTCTTTATCTCCAACATTTTCTGCAGATTATGTGACCTCAAAGGGATAATAACACAAATGTCTCCTACTTAATGTCGATAATCTGTTTTTAGAAATCATACATTTTCCACATACATTGTTTAAAATGTTAAAGTTAGACCTATGACACTTCAAACCAGTTTCTTAAAATGTAAATAAAATATATTGTACACTAAAAGTAACAAACTTTAAGGTAAACAGACTATGACATTAAAAAAAGTTTACTGATGTGTAAACAGTTTTATGATTCATATGATATCTGTTTGAGCCAGCAACCTCAGCTAAGTTCATTGAACTTACATTCATTCTGATTTTTAAAACTTCTACATATGTTTTTTTTTTTTTTTTTTTAATTTTAATATTTATTTTTCAGTTCTCGGTGGACACAACATCTTTGTATGTGGTGCTGAGGATCGAACCCGGGCCGCACGCATGCCAGGAGAGCGCGCTACCGCTTGAGCCACATCTCCGGTCCTCTACATATGGATTTGAAAAAATTTTTGATTATATTTGACATGTAATCTCTCCCAGGTAGTTTTGTTAAAAGCATTGAACTATGGTGACTTTGATATGTCAGTTGGCATTCACTGTGTGAGGAACCAATCCAAAACTTATTGGCTTAAGGGGAAAAAAATTATTAGCTTAAAGTTCTGTTGATCTGCCTCTTTTTTTTTTTTTTTTGTATCAGGGATTGAACCCAGGAACATTTAAACCACTGAGCAACATTCCCATCCCTACTTTAGTTTTAATTTTTAGACAGGGTCTCACCAAGTTGTATAGGGCTTTGGTAAGTTACTGTGACTGGCCTCAAACTTGAAATCCTCCTGACTCAGCCTCCTGAGTTGCTGGGATTACAGACATGTGTCACCACGCCTGGTACTGATCTGCATTTTGAGGTGTGCTCATGTGGGCAGTTTCTATGCTTATGTTTCTTGGTTCACAAATTAAACTTTAGTCTAATTTTTGCTGAGGTTGGTGCAGGATGGCTTCATTGCCATTTCTGGTGGTTTGTACTGGCCATTGGCTCTTTTCTGGGTTTCTAACAGCGTAACCACAGGCTTTTTAATGTTAATTCTGTAAGAGGGCAAATGCTGGTGGGCAAGTACTTTTCAAACTAATATTTGTATTGTATTTCTAATACCCACTGGCCAAAGCAAGTGAAATGATAAAGCCCACTTTGTTGTCAGAACATACTGTACAAGGGCTTGGGTACAGTTCTGTCACTGGGAAGCATTACTGGAGCAGTGTACCACAAGACATACACGTTGTGCACATTTTTACCTATATGATTGTGGGTGAAATGTTGGGTTGTTCCATGATGTTAGGTATATATCAGTAAAATGTGTTATAGTGGAAATAGTTATATGGAGTCTTGTGTGGATTCCCCACATTAATAGGGGAATAGTTACTACAGCCCAATTGTATTTCTATAGCATTAATTTGATTTAAATTAAGTTATATTTTTAGGCAACATTAATATAAAATTAGTAGGTAATGCATGTTTTAATTAACCCCCAAATAAGTTCTAAGTCTAATCTCTACCTTAATGTAAATGCATCTTCAATAGGGTCTTAGTTGCCCCTTATTGAGTAAACTATTCTCCCACATAGAGGCTTTTTAATTTATTTATTTTTTTGTCTTTTTCAGCAAATATGTAGAGTGTTTTGAGCAGAATAATAATGTACTGAGCTCCACCAGTTCTCTCCTTAGTCCACTCTACTTGCCTGCTGTTCCAGCCATGCTTCCAGAGTTCTCTCTCTGTGTCCAAAAGCAACGAAAACTGAATAAATCTTTAGTAAGTTGTTTATTTATTTTTCACTTTGTTGTCATTGTATTTGGTGAGCTTTGTGAGACCCACAAATTAAAATGGAAAAAGAGAAATAAGTAAAACTCAGCTTCAGGAAACTGGACATAAAGTTGGCATGTAGATTATAGGTAGGTTATAAGACCTCAGAGTCACTTAAGTTTAATGCATCTATCTCTGATCTTTCTGACACCATGGCAAAAAGACGGTCACACTTGTTACATGATTGGAATGGAACATAAGAGGAGGGCATGCTAAATCCTCTTGGGGCATGAAAACTTGCTACCACCAAAGTCTGAAACACTGTCTTTATTGGTTATATAGATGATGTAGTGGAAAACTTTTCATTGACAATTTGGAAATAAACACTTTTTGTGTTCAGCATTAGATAGATTTACCTAATTGCTAAAGTAATGTGGTTCCAGACAGCTTTTGTACAACCATCCTAGATTCGGGGATTAAACTTGGAATGTGTGGAGGACTGAGTCAACCATAGGCCCTTAAATAACTCTCCATAATTTTTCCTCAGTTCATGTGTACAGGTTATACATCAGATCATTCAGTTACATTTTTTGGACTTGAACCCATGGAATGTAGTTGTAGTTCATTTCTTTTTCTTTTCTTTTTTTTTTTGGAGGCACTAGTCTGAGCAGTTGTTCCTGTTGGGCACCTGCTCCAGTTCTTTGATTAGGCAGTTGACACATACCTTTGTTTTATTTATTTATTTTTATGTTGAGGATTGCGCAAGTGCTAGGTGAGTGCTCTAGTTCTTCTAAAGCTCACCAGTAACCTAAATTATAGTCATATCTAGTACTATTCTCTGGTCTTTACCTTACTTGAATCTTTGGCTGTTTGCAGATGATCTTCTGGAAATTCTTCTGTATTAGTTTCTGTCATGGCCTCAGTGATGGTTCTTCTCTTTTACCTGTATTTCTTTTCTTCTTCATCTATGTGTCTCATCCTGTTCACGGTTTGTCCCTCTCTGCAGTTCTCCTTGATGATTCAGCTCTTTGTGGTTGGATGCTCCAACCTGTTTTTAGCTTGGTCTTTTGACTATAGATTTAACTTCCTGTACTTATTTTTTCATAGCCGTCCAAAAGGCAACTCCAAACCAACAAATCCAAATTGAAAGTCTCATCTTCCTCTATTTCTCTCATATGGCATTATTGCCATTTAGTCAGTGATCCAAATTACTGAAAAGGGATTTTTTTCCTGAGCTTTTTCCTTTCTTAGGTCTCATCTCATCTAATCTCATCTTACGTAAAGTGAGTATCCCATGATACTCTTGTTTGATTGTTCTTTTCATTTATTTTTGAGTCTGCACATGGTGGCAGCATAGAGGGAAGAACTTCTGGGACTCACAGTCACCTGAAGGGTGTGTTTGCTAGGTGATGAGGTTCAATTGCTAGTAGACTCTGATTCTGGCTAGCTATGTGACATCCTTAGCAGTACACAGAGAAAAAGCATTCAGGAATTAGTTGGAATGTTTGAACAAGTCAATAAAAATATTTGTGAAGAATGAAACCAAGAAGCACTGACAATTCCTACAATCAGTTTATAAGAATTCTAATTTAGCCAATACTTGATATTTTCTGTTGGGTGTAAAGTGATAACTCATTGTGTCTTTCATTTGCATTCCTCTAATGATGAATGATATTTCATATGCTTGTTGGCCATTAGTGTGTCATCATTGGAGAAATGGCTGTGGAAGTCCTTTATCTGTGCTTTAAATAAGTTTTTTCGTTTTTTTTTTTTTTTTAATTGTGGGATGGAAGCAGTTCTTTAGGTATTTTGCATATTAACTTGTTATGAGGTATATGATTTAAAACTATTTTCTTTCATTCTGTAGTTGTCTTTTTATTCCAATTATGATAATGCACAAGAATTTTTTTTTGATCTACATTCATTTGTGTATTTTTACTTTTGCTACCTGTGCTTTTTAACATTATATCTATGAAGTCATCGCCAAATCCAATTTTATAAAGCCTTTCTGCTACATTTTCACCTAAGAGTTTTATAGTTTTAGTGTTAAATATAGGTTTTTGGACCATTTTGAGTTAATTTTTGTATGTGGTGTAAGGAAAGGTTCCAGCTTGTCTTTTGTATGTGGATATTCAGTTTTCCCAACACTGGTTGCTGGACTTTTCTGCACTGAGTGGGCTTGGCACCCTTGTGGAAGATCATTGGAAAATATATTTTCTAGACTACATCATGTATTTTGGTTTAAAAATATTGTCACCTCAGTGTATTGAGATAGCCAACTAGATTCAGAAGTTAATAATAAAATAAACATATACTGGGAAACTTGCAAATACCTATTTGCTGTCAATTTTTAATTATATAATTTTAAAAATTCAGGTATGACTGATGTACGAAATTGTCTATATTTAAAGTGTACATTTTGATGAGTTTGTGAATAAGCATTACTCACCTATGGCAACTTCCCCAAAATGATACATTAAGGGGCTGGGGATGTGACTCAAGCGGTAGTGCACTCGCCTGGAATGCGTGCTGCTTTGGGTTCGATCCTCAGCACCACATACAAATAAAGATGTTGTGTCTGCTGAAAACTAAAAAATAAATATTAAAAAAATTCTCTCTCTCTCTCTTTTTAAAAATAAAAAAAATAAAAAGTGATACATTAATATATCATCTCCAAGTTTCTATTGTATCCCCTCTTTTTATATGTAAAACACCTTTTTAAATGTAATAATGTTTATTACATTTTATATATAATAAACCTATAGGTAGATTTTATATGTAGTATCCCAGAAGGTAACCTTCTTAGCAGATATTTAAGTATATAACATAATATTCTGAATTGCATATACTGTTCTGTAGATTTAAGACTGATTCATATTTTATGACTGAAACTTTACCCTTTGACCAACACCTCCCCAATTCCTTTGACCCTCAGCACATGGTAACTGCCATTCTACTTTATGCTTCTGTAAGCTTGAGTATTTTAAATTCTTGATATATATAGTATCCTAGTCTATTCATGTTGCTGTAACAAAAACGTGAGACTTGGTGCTTAATAAAGAACAAAAATTGCAGTTTTAGAGGCTGGAAAGTCCAAGATCAAGGTGCTGGCATCTGGTATCTGGTTAGGGTCTTGCTGCCTCCCCACATAGTGAAGGACATGGAAAGCAGAAGGGAGTGATTGAAGCCCTTTCTATCAAAGGGCCCTAATCCATTCCAGAGGAAGGAACTCTCATCTGATCACCCCACAGAGGCCCCACCTTCTAATACTGTCCACATGTTGATGTGAAATTTGGGGAACACATACATTTGGTTCATTGCTAGTGGCATTATGCAGTACTTTTTTGTATCTAGACCTATTTTACTTAGCATAATGTTCCCCAGGTACATTTGTGTTGTCACAAGTGGAGGGATTTCCTATTTAAGGCTGAATGATACTCTGTTGCCTGTATGGGCTACATTTTCTTTATCCATTCATTATTATTAAGTGCTTTTATATTATAAGTAGGAAGGTATTTTTAATATTTGTTTTATTATTAAGTAATAATTATCAAACTCAAGCTTTTAAGTGACTGGATTTTCTTTCTTTTTAAAATATTTTTTTTTAGCTGCCAATGGATTTTTTTTTTTAAACTTTATTTATATGTGGTGCTGAGGATCAAACCCAGGGCCTCACACATGCCAGGCAAGTGCTGTACCATTGAGACACAACCCCACTCCTGGATTTTCTTTTTTAAAAGAGAAAACCTCTTTTATTTTGTTAGAGCAGTTGAATTTCACAGTAGAATTTGAGGAAGGTGCATAGATTTCTTCCATAGTTGTATCCTTACACATGCACAGCATCCCCCTTTGTCAACATTCCTCAACAGAGTGGGAAATCAGTTACAATTGATGACCCTGCATTGACACTTAATAGTTGTCCAAAGGCCATGGTTTACGTTATAGTTCATTCTTGGTGTTGTGCACTCTGTGGGTTTGGAAAAATGTTAATGGTATGTTTCTAGCATTATAGTGCCATAGAGGGTATTTTCACTGCATTAAAAATCTACTGTGTTCCCTCTGTTCATCCCTCCTCATCCCCAGCCCTGGAAACTACTGATCTTTTTACCTTCTCCACAACTTTACCTTTTCCAGAATGTTACACAGCTGGAAATATAAAGTAAAAAGCCCTTTCAGACTGTTTTTTTAAAATTTCATAATGTGCCTTTTGAGATTTCTGTATGCCTTTCAGGACTTCGTAGCTCATTTCTTTCTAGTGCTGAGTAATATTTCATTGACCACATATGCTACAGTTTTATCTATTCACCTCTTGAAGGATAGCTTAATTACTTCCAGATTTTGACTTTGAATAAAACTACTATAAACATTTGTTTACAGGTTTTTATTCTGGGAGTGGTTTTCACCTCTTTTGTGTAAATACCAATGAGCATGATTGCTGGATCATATGGTAAGAGCATGTTTAGTGTCATAGTAAATCACCAAAATGTCTCCCTTGGTGACTGTCCTGTTTTGCATTCCCACAAGCAGTGCGTGAGTTTCTCTTGTTCCATGTCTTCATTAGCATTTGGTATCAGTGTTCCATATTTTGTTCTTTCTGCTAGTTAATGTAGTGATATCTCATTGTTATTTTAATTTGCATTTCCCTGATGTCTTATGATATAGAGCATCTCTTCCTGTGTTTATTGATTGACTGTGTCTTCTCTGTTTGGGTATCTGTTAAGCTCTTTGTGTTCTTATGATAGCTATAGAGTTTTGAGTTCTTTTAATGTTTTACATAACAGTCCTTTTATCAGATTTGTCTTCTGCAAATATTTTCTTCCAGCCTATGACTTATTTTCTCATTCTTTTGACAATGTCTTTTGCAGTAAAGAAGAAATGTTAATGAAGTCAAATTTATCTATCATTTCTTCCCTGAATTTTGATTTTGGCTTTGTATGTACAAAGTCATTACTTTCCCCTCGGTCATCTAGGTTGTTTTTATATGTTCTAGAGTTTTATAATTTTTCATCTTACATTTTAGTTTGTGATCCATTTTGATTTAATTTTTATAATGGGAATGTCTAGATTCACTTTTCTTGTGTATAGATTCCTAGTTGTCCCAACTCCATATATTTTAAAGAATAACTTTGATTCATTCCTTTGTCAAAGACCAGTTGATTATAATTATATGGAACTAATTCTAGGCTCTCTGTTCTGTTCCATTAAATTGAATCTTTTGGTCAAAGTTTGTAAAAACTGACATTGATAATATTGAGATTTTCTGTTCATGGACATAGAGTATTCACTTAGTTGTGCTTTGATTTTGTTCAGAAAGATTTTGTATGTATAGAGATATTGTGTTATTTTGTTAGATTCATATGGATTTCATTTTGGGGTGCCAATATAAGTAGTACTGTGTTTTCATTTAAAAATTCCACTTGTTCATTGCTGATATTTAGGAAATTGAAAAATGTTTATACATTAACCTTATAGGCTGTAATCTTGTTATAATCACTTATTCCAGTTTTTTTTTCTTTAACAGTTTTTTTCTACATAGATGACAGTTGTATTATCTGTAGTCAGTTTTATTTATTCTTTTTCTGCATAACCTTTATTTCGTTTTCTTGTGTTACTGTATTAGCTAGTACTTCTATAGTTATGAAAGATGTGATAAGAGGGTACAACCTTGCTTTCTTTAGTCTTGCAAGAAAGGTTTGAATTTCTCACCTGTTAGATGTAGGTTTTTGTGGGTATTTGTTATCAAGTTGAGGAGAGTTTTTATCACAAATGGATGGCAAGTTTTTTCAAGTGATTTTTCTGCATCTGTTGTGTAATCATGTGATTTTTTTCTTCTTCAGACTATTGATGTGATGAGTGGTATCAGTTGATATTCAAATGCTGAGCCAGCCTTGTGTGCTTGGGATAAATTCCACTTGTTTTGATGTATAATTCTTTTTGTAGATTGTTGGATTCAATTTGCTGATATTCTACTGAGAATTTCTTTCTTTTTTTTTTTTTTTTGATCTGTGTTCATGAGAGGTAATGGTCTGTAGTTTTCTGTATTTGGGTAGTGCTGGTTTCATAAAATGAACCATAATATTCTATCTGCTCCTTTCCTCTGAAATAGATTGTAGGGAATTGATATAATTTCTTCCTTAATATTTTATTGAATTCACCGGTGAATGTATACACAACAGGTACTATATTTGAAGATTAATAATTATTCTGTTCTTTAATAAATATATATTTATTATTGTATATTACTTGTGTGAGTTTTTGTAAATTATATCTTTGGAAGAATTGGTTTGGCCTATTCTGAAAATAATATTAGGGACTTTCACAGTTGAAAAGGAGGAGCACATTCCAGGTGGTGAGGGGCAAACACAAGTATAGAATAGTCACTAAAGTAACCCATATCTTTGCAGAGATTTAAGATCGTAATGAGGCACAGCTACAGTTCACTTCAGCATGTGATGACAATCAGAAACTAGGGCCTTGCCACCTGTGTGGGTGCACATTTTCGTTTTTTGTTTGAGATAGCCTGATACTCTCAGTATTACTTCTCCCTTCTTATTTGGGTGGAAGTCCCTTTATTCCCTGTTAATCTCTTAAGATTATTCACTGTCATGGCTACAGGTACCGTTGAAATCTTGGTACTTCAAATTTTAATGTTCAGCTGATGTCTCTTTCCTATACTCCACATTCATATCCAGTTGCCTGGTGGACATCCCACATAAGAAATTTCAGTTATTTCATTTGCGATATCTACAAGTCTAGGTTATTTCTGCCCCCTCACATTCTTCCATTTTTCACATTTCACTTTGGAGCACAGTATCTAACTAACTGCCATCATACATGTAGCCTGGAAGTAATAGTTCTCTTTGACCCTCTGTTCAGCAAGTTAATACCACATTCTGTTTCTGCTTATATTTTTCATTGTTTCATTTTCTCATTATGTATATTTACTGCTCTCTGTTCTAATATAGGTGGTAAGCTGTCACCCTTTTTCTTCCTTTATCACTCTTTCTTAAGCTCTTTGCCACTCTCCTTCCAGGGTTGACTATTAAATGCATATCTGTTCATGAAACTTACTTTTTCTTATAGGGCTTCCTTATTTATATTGTGTGGTTAGGGAAGTGGCAGTCCACCCTGTCGTGCCCACAAACAATCCTTTAGCATATAGGAAGGACATTTTGGGACATGTATATGTTTTTAATGTATAAACAATTAAAAGATGGTAGGTACATACAGTGTTTTTGTTGTTGGAATTGGATCATAAATTCATACCAACTCAATAATAAGTTCCTTCAGTATTGCATGAATCTCTTATCATGGCCCAAGATCATTCACCTTGGCAGGGCACTGTGTTTAATTTCATTAATGTGTTGTGCATTGTTTGTGGTACACACATTCATGAAAACACAGTTCACATGGAAAAGCTGAACATCTTTAGTGTTTCAGTGACACCAACCTCATAATACAAAATAGAATGGTGTTTTCTCCTTTTTTTCCCCCCAGTCTATATTGCACTTCTGTTTGTATTAATTCATCTTGCACATCATTCCAGGTCTGCATATATTCTTTGTCTTCATATCAGATCATAAGACTTTTAGAGGAACAGAGTTTTATTCATGCTTATCTCCCTCACAACAAGTATGGGTATACATATTTAAAATAAATTTTATAGTGGTAGTTTTGATAATAAATTTTTACTGTGGATACTTTCACTGTGATCTTTCCTTCATCCATCATATATAGTATAAAGCATTCTCTGTTGTGTGGAAGATACATGTAAGACATACACACCTATATAGAAGGGAGACAGACACAATCTCTGGAGGACTGATGACTTGAGGAGAAATGTGCTGTTGCAGGGGTTGGTGTCATTTGAGGATGTGTCTGTGGACTTCACCTGGGAGGAGTGGCAGAACCTGGATGATGCTCAGAGGACCCTGTATAGGGATGTGATGTTGGAGACCTACTACAGCCTAGTGTCACTGGGTGAGCAAAACTCCCCGATAACTTCCAGGAGCGGTATCCTTCCCTGTGCCCATTTGGCAAATATAAGAACCATTTATAAGGTTTAATGCTATTTAGGTATGGGATTCTAATTCATGTAGAATGTGCCTTTGTTTTTTTTTTTTTTTGGTATTGGGGGTTGGATCCAGGGATGCTACCTCTGAGTGCTTGTTATTTTTTATTTTGAGATAGAATCTCACTAACTTGCCTCGGTTGGCTTCCAACTTGTGATCCTCCTGCTTACCTTCTGAGCTGTTGGGATTACAGATTGGTACTCTCACACCTGGTAGTGTGTCATGCCTTATTAATGAAAGGCCTTTTTTGTGGGGAGCCATCGTGAACTACTTGAGGGGTCTTTACTTGGTACCGAGCCATGGAGACTTAGGTTTTATTCCTTGGGAACTATCCCGGCTCTCCCATGTGAATCAGATCACCCAAGGCATGAAATCTCTTGTCTTTGCTCTACTGAGTAGACAGCTCTTGTAACTTTTGTGTTGGGCATAACCCGCTGGAAACTGGACAGCCCACCTCCTACCTTATTTGGCAAAGAATAGTCCATGGAAAACCTTTGATGTTCCCCCCAAATAAATAAAGCAAGCAAAGGCTCCATTGCTCTCTTTCTAGTGTGGAAGCTTGATCCCTAAGATCGACTATCCCGCCCCTGCTTTTTAAAAATTACTTTCTGTGTCCTGTGTTTTTTTCACTTCCTTCTCTTTCTTAGCTTTTGTTTCGCAGCCATCCCACTCTACCAAGAGGAACCTTTACTTCCATCGCCTATGCGGGATGTGGGCAAGACCTTTCATTGAATAGTTCCTGAAGCCAAGCTCTTTTTTTTGGGAAGGAGCTAATGTGGCAGTTTGGCAAAATCTTACATTATTTCTCATTAACAGGGCACTGCATTATAAAACCTGAGGTGATCTTTAAGTTGGAGCAAGGAGCAGAGCCATGGATGGTAGGGGAACACCCAAACCAGACCCTCTCAGGTCAGTCAGTGCATATTGAGCACAGGGAGATTGGGAACAGTAAAATTCATCAGATGTTGGGAGTGTTGAGCTTACTCTACCTCTTTTTTGCTGCGTCCCTGTAAGGGTTCTGTATTTGGGATTGGGTTGTCTGATGATTTTATGGCTGTGGTGTGCTTGGTGGCTGAGAGTTTCTGTACAAAAGAACAGGTTGCTTAGTTGCTGGGAAAGTTTCTGTGCAAAGGTATGGAATGCCTAACTGCTGGGAAAGTTTTTGTGCAAAGACACAAGATGCCTAGCTGCTATAGCAATGCCCTGCATGAGGAGGCTCTGTGCTAGAGTCTTATCAGCCTTTACCTTGATCTCAGGCACACACCTCCTGGGAGTGTGTTTCACTGCTGTGCCTGTACCTGTCCACTCAGCAGTAGCTTTAAACAATGGACTTTCTTGAGATCTACACAAAGCTTCTAGTATTGCACATTGCAACTGTAGTTTGTAACTAAGTAATAACCTGCATAATGTTGCTAACTCTGTAACCTGCCTAATGACACAATGAACAATAATGTACTACTGATGCCAGTGACCTAATGTAACCTACTGACATAAATAAAGCTGGGAGCTTGGACAAAGGGCTATTCTGCCCCTATACTTTGTTTCTGTCCTCTTTTGGATTCTTTTTTTTTTTTTTTTTTTTTTTTTAAATTTTAAGATGTCAGTGGACCTTTATTTAATTTATTGTATGTGGTGCTGAGAATTGAACCCAGTGCCTCACACATGCTAGGCAAGTTCTCTTCCACTGAGCTACAACCCAGCCCTTCTTTTGATTTCTTTACAGCTTTTGATTTCTTTATAGGTCCCAGACCTGAGGAGAGCTGGATCAAAGATTTCTTTATTATATAGTCTACAGGGAGGGCTCTTATACATAAATCCTTGCCTTTTATTTTGCTGAGTATTTTAAACATTTACCTCTGGTCTATTCTCTGCCTTCCTTTTCTTAAATCTTTTTCTTTGTTTCTCACCTTTTCACATTTTCAGTTGCTGTCTTCCACCATTTCAGTGAAGTGGGTTTTTTCCCCCAGGCATTTTAAAAATATACATCCATTTATTCTTAAGCAGATTTTGAGCAGTGGAAATTTTATAATGTACTTATAACAAACGTGATCAATATATTGTCCCTCTTTTATGAAGTTTACACTCTAATGAGAGAGAAATAAGAAAAATGTGAATTAATTGGATGGGAAATATATAGAATATTTAACCAGAGTGAGAAAAGAAAATGGAATGTGATAATTCAGAAAGGATGGTCAGAGAAGGCAGTTTTAGGGAATTATTATGTATTTACTTTGGTATGGCTTCAGTTCAAGTTAACTTTTTCACCACTACTCACATATAATACCTTGGTGAATATAAAATCTATATTTGAGGGTGGACCATCCCTATCGGAGGTGCAAATTTGGACATTAGCATCTTTAAACAAAAATTTAAAGTCATTCTTGTACAGGAAGTCATCAGAGAGTTGATAAGATAGAAAAGAAGTCTAGGAGTGAGCCTGTCATCCAGAAATAAAGAATCATGAATCTGAGAAGGACCCAGAATAGGAGCATAGCAAAAGGTGGGCCTGGACTTCAGAATAGAAACAGGAGATGTTGGGTCTCCAGGCCAAGAAAACGAAGGTTTCATTTTGGAGGGCTCAAATTTCTGAGAGTTGAGTTTGAAGTCCCTATTTTCCCTTGTCTTTATGAACATCCTTCTAAAGCAAAGAAGATGAGAAATGTATGTGAAGCTCCATTTTCTAAGAAAATAGGAAGCAGCTGAAACTTTAGTACATAAAATAAAAGCTTTCAGAAGCAGTGAGTTGTGCGACAGGGGTACTTGCATTAGGAATCGGAGGGACAAGTCAGGCTGTGGATCTCAGAAGAAACCAGAAAGGCAGTTTCTGGTGGGCACAGCATGGGTTAGGGAGCAAGTTGCTTTAGACCAGCATGTTACGGAAGCCCAGGGTTATAGGTTAAAGTATCTCATATCTGTTATGGCCTGAGAAGCAAAGTAAGCCAGGTTTAATTAGGAATTTGGAGAAAGCTGTCATCATCTAGCACAGGGAAAAGAGTCAAACTTACTACCCCAGATAGTATATTTTTTATTACATTAAATCAGAAGGAAAATCATGTAGTCATGGACTGCCTAACATTTCAGGCTATTATGGACCATGAATCCATCTAAATAATCTTGGTTCCAAAAGATTATGTTACAGCTCAAAAATTCCTATTATTTAATGACATGGTAAGCATTATAATGTCATAGCCCAGTGCATAACCCACATGTTTGTGGTGAAGCTGGTATTGTAAAACTTAGTCCTCTAAGTTGTGTATAGGACATAATTCTTGATAATTTTTAGTCTCTTACTACAATGAAATACCTAAGGCAGCTAACTGATAATGGGTAAAGTTCAGTTGGGCCTAATGGTTCTGGAGATTCTGGTCCAAAATAGACCCCATCACTTTTGGCCATTGGAAAGGGTGGAAATATTGGGAGCATGATGGCAAATTACTTACATTTTGAGTTAGGAAACAAGGGTGGGAGAGGATGGGCCATGTTCTCACAATCTACTTCGAGGACACACCTCCAGGGACCTTAGGACCTGCTTCTGGGTCAGGCTTCATGAAGGTCCACAGCAACTTCCAGTAGTGCCAACTTGGAGACAAAGTCATTAACACATGGGCCTGTGGAGGATGTTTAACATTCAAACTGTAGCAGTAATTATAATAAATTACTATGGTACCGTTTTATATATTTACTATACTATAGTTTTTATTATTTTAAGGCATACTCTTCTACTTATAAAAATGTTTGTTTTTAGACAGTATGCTGTGTTACCCTAGGAGCAGCCTCAGCTTGTGTTTACTGTGTCTCCACACAGGTCCTGTATCATTTAGATTTCTGTAAGCGCACTCTGTGATGTTTATACAATAACAAAATTGTGTAATGACACTTTTTTCCTCAAGTGTTCTTGACATTAAGTGATGCATGACTATACTCATATAGTCACTATTCATCATTGATTAATTACAAATGATAGGCTGCTAAGGCAGGAAGAAAGAACTTTACTTTTACATGAGCATTCCATAAGAAATGCTTATAGTTATGAATTTGTTTTTGTTTTTCATTTTAGATGTCCAGAAAGTGGATGACCAAATAGACAGGAGCCAAGAAAGCCAAGACAGACGTTTGTGGCAAGTTGTAATCACCAACAGCAATTCATCAACTAAGGAGAGAGTTGAAGTAGGAAAACAATTTAAATTGAGCTCAAGATTAATTTTAAATAATGGGAACTATTTAGAAAAAAGGCCTGAGGGGTTTAATGTGCATCAAAACAGGCTTCTCTCTGGGGAACCTGATACAAGTAATGTAATCGGGAAGTCTCTCAGATGTCCTCAGCATCTTGGTCAGAATCAGCAGGAGGAATTTGAACATTGTGGACAAGTTAAAGGCTTGAACACACAGGTGAATGTATTGAAATATGAGAGGGTTCCTATGAGAAATACCTGTGGAGAGAAAGACTGTGGGAAAGGCTGTGATGGTTCATTTTTTATTGATGGAGAGACTACTCAGGTGAGGAAGAAAACTTTCTACAAAAAGCCTAAAAGTCAGCAAATACACATAGGAGAGAGACCCTCTGAATATATTAAAGATAAGGAAACCTTCACTAGCTGTTCAGACCCTATAATACATCAGAGGGCATGTAGAGGGAAAAACCTTTATGCATGTAATCACTGTGAGAAATCTTTCAACCGTAAGTCCAACCTTGTCATCCATCAGCGAATTCACACAGGGGAAAGGCCCTATCAATGTAATGAATGTGGGAGAACCTTTTCCCGGAACTGTCACCTGAGGGAGCATCATAAAACTCACACAGGAGATAAACCCTACAAATGTAATGAGTGTGGGAAGACTTTCAATCACAAGGTAGGCCTCACTGTACACCAGAGAACTCACACAGGTGAAAAACCCTATGAGTGTAAAGAATGTGGGAAAACCTTTTGCCAGAAGCCACACCTCTGTAAGCATCAGAGAATTCACACTGGAGAGAGACCCTATGAATGTAAAGAATGTAGGAAATCTTTCAGGGTCAAGTCAAAACTCACTGAACACCAGAGAAATCACACAGGTGAAAATCTCTATAAATGTGAAGAGTGTAGAAAAGCTTTCAACAATAGATCAGCCTTCATTGTCCATCAGAGAACTCACACAGGAGAAAGACCCTATGAATGTAATGTATGTGGGAAAACCTTTAGCCAGAAGGGAAATCTTGGTGAACATCAGAGAATTCACACAGGGGAGAAGCCCTATGAGTGTAAAGAATGTGGAAAAGTGTTTTCCCACAGGTCCAACTACAGCAAGCACCAGTTAAGTCATGTAAAGGAAACACCCCAAGAACATATGAGTGTGGGAAAATCTCTTGCCAGGTCACAGCACCCTTAATTTTGTATGGTAGAGACTGGCCAAGTGTTCTCCAAAGTCCATTTTCTTTCCTTCTGGAAACACCGTGCATTTCTCAGTGCCCTGTTGGGGTACCATGTAAATAGCTCTTCAGGTAAATAGGGACACAAGCGTTGAATCTTATTTCCAAGCATGGTGCAATATAAAAGCTGTGCCGTCAGTCCTTCCAGATGTCTCATGCTCTGTGGATCTCGTGTGAAGATGGCCACTAAGATGTCCTTCAGAACTTTAAATGGGAGAAGGTAACTATGATTTAAGACAAAAAGAAATGACTCACAAGATCAGGGATTATCCCACTTCTATCCTAGAACCCTTGATTTATACTTTATGTGAGTGAAAAGTAAATACTCTTTTGGGCTATCTCATATGTGATCTGTTTGCATTACAATAGAAACATCTCATTGTAGCTAAAAATAAATATCTTTAATCCATCAGCCCTTCAAAAGCTTCCAATATTTTTGTACAGAAGAGAATTTATAATTATGGGAATTATAACTGTGTTCAGAACGCTTGACCTGCCAATCATAGAGACTAATGCTTCTGTGTAAGAGTTTTGGTTCTTTTTTTATGGTTTTATTTATTTTTAAAATAAATTTACATATATAATTCTGCTTCAACATTCAGATTTATGTGCATATATTGATACACACACACACACACACACACATACACACACACATTTTAAAGGTAACCCTCTCCATAAGCCTAGTCCATAACTCAGAATTCAACCTAACACTACCCATATCCATGAGCCTTTTATACAGAAATTATAATCATTACATTGAATATTCATGTATTTTTAATACATACATTCCTGTATGTTTATATACATTCATACATATACATATATCCTATTGGTAAACAAAATACTACACATAAATTTTAACATATTCATTTATATATTTATAACACTACATCTAAGTCAAATTGTAAGCATCCATCTCAACACAAATCCAGATACATATAAATATTTTAATGTATATCCATATTGAATTTATACATATGGATATAAATGTTTAAACCTTAGCTCTAACCTTAATCCTTTTTCAACTACATGGTCTGTCAGTACAACTATGGCTCAACAGAAACCTCTACACATATAGACCAGATCACTTTACATGAATGTACCTATATAGTTGGGGATATAAATTTTTAAATTCACATAAAAATCCAGATATTTTATATATATATATTTTCATTTCCATTGGCAAGCCCCAAATTTAACATATAACCAAAATACCACATAACTTTAAAATAGCCATAGATAAAAGTATATATATTTATAAACTTTCATATAATTTTAATTCTATATTGATATATGTATTCCAGTGGTAACACCGTCAACCTAGTCCCTAACTCGGAACTAAATTTATCCTTACAGATAACCATCAATCTTCTATACAAAAATTATAATCATTACTTTGAATACTCATATATATATTTACATATATGTTCCTTTATATGTTTATAAACATGTATGTACCCTAATTCTAAACAAAATCCTACCCACAAATTTTCATATATATTCAATTGCATATTCATAAAATATATCTAAATATAAGAGTTAGTTCTTGGCTGTACTTGGCTGCATGTTTTTCTGTTCTTTACATGACTAGGCTGTAAACTTTCCAAATTTATATGTTCTGATTTCCTGTTAATATGAAATTCTGCCTGTAAGTCATTTCATTGTTGCACTTTGCTATATGAGGTTAAAAGAATCTATGTAGTTCCTTTAGCGTTTTGCTCAGAACTTCTGTATTATTTCATATTTCGAAACTGATCATAAAGAATAGAAGCTATCTGAGGAGTGTCAAGTGTATTATAATGATGCTTTTTTTTTTTTTTTTTAGTTAAACATGACTAGTAATATCTTCCAGGTGACATTTGAGTATGTGTCTGGGAACATTCTTGATTGTTATAACCACATGTTGGGATTCCTGCTGGCATCTAGTGAGTGGAGGCCAGGAGTGTTATTGAACATCCCACAGTGCACAGAATTGCCCCTTCAAATATGGGGTTATACTTAGGAACATTCTCTATTTACAAAAATTTCCTTTATGGAACCCAGCATAACTGTGGATAGAGAATATATACACTTAGCATTATATTATCACTTTTTATATTAAACATAGGTGTTGTACTGCATAACTTTTTTTCCTATTCTCCTAGTATATGTAAATTTGTATGACTGTTGTTACCAAACTGCCCCTTAAGAAAATAATTGTTTTTCCCTAGTTTGCTGTTAATACAAAGCTAGCCACTGTGTTCAATAGGAACCTGACTTATGCATTTCTGCATAATCAGGAACATAATTTTTAACAGCTTCTGACTGATTAATTTGAACAGCTGTGAGTAATAGTAGTAATTTCATCAACTCAGTGGAAAGTAGTCTATGGAAGGAAAATTTCTTTATTCTCCTAGTTTTAGATGGAGCAGCAGCATAGGTATGCATGCATGTCTAGTGCTGTGTATCTGGGGAATCTCTTCATGTGTACTTCCAGTGATGGAGTGCTGTGTTTCTTGCTACACAAAGGGCAACATGGTAATCCCTGGTTCTACTTCTATATATGATTCAACACACTGATCTCTGTGAGTTGCTGTTTGTACATATTCAGAAACAGTAAAAACGGAACCTGCCTTGAAGGTCACTCTAGGTAAGCATCGTGCTTTGACTATTACCTGTCTCCCTTTATAAACAGCATGTAATCTGTTAGTGTTGTAATCAGCATAGCGGTAATGGGGATTATCATAATTCATAAAATTATTAACTTTGATATATTATTATAGTTGGTAGTAGGCAATAACGTTTCTTTGTCTACATAAGCCATCTTTAACTTTGAGAAAGTCATGATTTGGTTATGGTACTTATACAGAGTTATTCAGGGATCATCTTGATTGAGCATTTTAAGATTATTTGAGACTGATCTTGAGTGATCTTTTAGGTTAACCAGTTCTGCCCAGTGGCATGCTGGGACTGTGTGGCATGTCTAGGGAAGTTTTCACAAAGGGGTGAGGGACATGGAAAAGAGAGTCCTGTTGATGGTCACTAATTAACGTTTGTGGAAATGGCCTCTGCTTGCATGCTGAGGCTCTGAGGGGTGGGGCCTAGGAGCGGGAGGACCTTACACAAGGTCCAATGGGAAGGATGAGTTGAAGGGCCACTGAATAAATACACAACCCAGAGCTGCTCCGTTTGGGGACATTTATATAAAGCAGTACATTTCTATTGTTCCATGAGAAATTGCCAGCACCTTGCACATCAGGACAATATATTTAGTATGTTACTGTCTGTGGGTGAGGAGCCACTCCAACCACCCATACTAACAGGGACAGCCTCACTGGTCCCGATTTTGTCTCCTGGTTGTCTATCAGAAGCTAATCAGACCTCAAATACCAGGGTAAAGCAGATTAGGGGAAATAAATGGCCACGTGTTTTCTGTGGAAAATGAAGCAGAACAGCCCAGGCAACTATACTTATTCCTGATAGTGTTGACTTTTAAGGCAAAAGGCATTATTTTGGAGATAGCACTAAATCTATACTGATGAAAGATTTGGTCTGTCATGGTGATAAAACAATTTTCAATACCTGTACACCTCAAAACTCAGCCTTAGCATGTAAAGGGAAATATTCAACTTAAGGTAAATGCATGGCCATAGTGGGAGACGCAATCGCCTCTCTCCATTGTGTTTACAAAGGGAGTGAGTTAGAGGAACAAAGCAAGTGGCTATGGGTGATGTGACCCTTGAGCAGGCTTAAGATTGTGGGGAGGGTCATTACCCAGGTCCTGCATGTCCTTGCTGAGTGTCCACATTAACCTGCTGTGTCCTGATGCAGAGCAGTTTTGGTGCCTGGTTACCTGGGCAGCCCAGGAGTCCCAGGCACCACTTCTTTGTGTAGGTGGGGGATTCACTGGTTTGCTGCTTGCTGTAATATGTATTGCTGCTTATGGTGCTGGACCAGGTTCCTTAGTTCTTCTGCTACCTCTTTGCCCACTGTAAGTGTAGCTTCCATTTGGACCCCTTGTGTTACCGTGGGGTTTAGAAAAAGGTCAGACTGAATTTGCTTATGCTGAAGTTTAATGGTGGGCAGTGAGCAGCATAGTCCTTTGCCTGTGTCTGGGTCTTGAATCTCCTGCCAGCACCTATGATTTTCAAACAGGCTCACGGATTCCAAGCTGGTTATAGACCTTGCACAGTTCCTGACCCAGACAGTCAAGCAGGCCTGGTGGGTGGCAAGCGGGCATGATAGCCAGGTGGACAAACGCTGGCCAGACCCTTGGGTTGGTGAAGTTTGCCTGCCCAGCAGGTGCAACATGGCTGTCCCTGAGGCACAGAGGAGTCCACAGAGGGGGCAGGAATGAGTAGGGTGAGTGAGGTCTGGGAGGGAAGCTGAGAGGCAAGAAGGGCACAGAGGTTGGGAAATTGTGGCTCGGCAGGAAGGTCCTTTCACACCTTACAGTCTCCTGCCTTCCAGTCTCATACCAGCAAGGGGGGGGAGTTCTGTACCATCAGTTCTCAATTCTTTTCATTTCACTTTTTTCATTTATTTTGGGTTTAGTTTTCCCTTCTCTATCTAGTTTCTTTTCTATTCTCTTTTGGTACTCGGGATTGAACCCAGGGGTGCTTAACACTGAACCACATCCCAAGCCTTTATTATTTTTCTAAACTTTGAGACAGGGTCTCACTAAGTTACTTAGGGCCTCACTAAGTTTCTGAGGCTGGCTTTGAATGAGATCCTCCTTCCTCAGCCTCCCAAGTTGGGATTACAGGTGTACACCATTGCTCCAAGCCTTCTATCTAGTTTCTTAAGGTGGAAAGAAGCTTATTGATTTTAGATTTTTCTTTTTAAAGTATTCAAAGCTTTAAACTTCTCTTTAAGCCCCTTTACAACTGCATCCCATTAGTTTTGACATGTTGTGTTTGCATTTTCATTCCTCTTGAAATATTTTCTAATTTCACTTGTAATTTCTTGACCCCAGACTGCTTGGGAGTCAGTGTTTTTAACTTCAGAAATTAAATGAGGAAAAAGAGATGTATAATGAAAACAAAATCATATGAACTGGATGTACTGGTTGGCCATACTAACAATGGACCATGTTACTTACTATCAGTTACAACTATCATTTTAAAATCCACATGGCCAGAGATGTTCTTTGTATGACTTCAACCCTTTTGTATTTATTGAGGTTATTTAAGACTCAGCAAGTGATCTTTTCTATAGCATGTGTTCTATGTGCACCTGAGAAGAATGTGTGTTCTGTTGTTGGATGTTTCATACTGTTATGTCAATCTACTTAATAATGTTCAAATATTCTATGTTCTTGTCAGTTGTTTGCTTAGTTGTTCTGTCCATTACAGAACAGTTGTAGAAGGTGGGATACTGACTCCCAGTACTGTTGTTGAAGAGTCAGACTACTTGTTCCTTATATTAGCTTTTCATCACTATGACAAAATACCCAAGATAATAAGATTATAAAGAGTAAAGTTTCATTTTGGCTCATGGTTTTCATGGTCACTTGTCCCTGCTGTCTTGGGCCTGCT